AAACGCAGCAAACAGACTGGGGATTGGAATTCCCAGCACACAGATCACCAGGACAGCATTTCGTCAGAAAAATGCAGAGTTCTCAGACTTCAGCTGTGCGGGTCATTGGGCACAGCACAAGAAAAATAACGTTCCTCCCATGGAAAACCGCACATAACAGGGGAACTAATTGCGGGAATGAAATGAAAAAAATGTGCGTTGATATTCCCTCCTGTTTTCTCTCAATCGAAGCTGCAACGGGTCATTACCTAGTGCTATAGATCTCTTGATTCTATTTTGTTAATTTTACATTCTGTTTCTAAAAGGCAGCCTGGTATGACAAGTGATAAAAAAAAAAAGTGCTGGAAAGGTGTCGATTCTTTGGATTGTGTTTCCGAAAGGAAGGTGCTAGACTGCTAGTGTACCTACCAGATTACTGAACGACACACTCCTAGAAGTTTTGACAGAGATCGAGAATGGGAGTCTGGTTGCACTGTTTTCTTTTTCTTCTTTTGATTAATTATAAAAAGATTATAAAAAGATAAGTGGTGGTACTGGCTCGTGCTTGGCTGAAAGGCAAACGACATCAGACACGGGTTCAGCTGAACGGTAAAAGCATTGATTGATTCCTTGCACTTCCCTTGGCTGCAAAAAAAAAGACAAGATCGCATGCTTTTACATTTCAGTCACACACCTCACCCCACACTGCACACGGGATTGTAATGTGAGGTGAGGTGTGTGAGTGAAAGGTAAAAGCATGCGATCTTGTTTTTTTTTTTGCAGCCAAGGGAAGTGCAAGGAATCAATCAATGAGGGCAAAAGTCTGTAAGGCAGAAGTTTCATAGAAGACCAAGCATGATTGAGCTGACTTGAAAGCAGAATACAAAAGCTGAGAGCACACACCAATTAGGAGCAAACTGGACACTGGAGTCCCTTGACAAAGCAAGCCGCATTTCTCGCCTCCAATAATCAATGCAACGACTATGTAGTAGCCCTACTATGATATGTCCGCGATACTCTACTCCCTACCGGGGGCTAGATCCCACTTACACGAATTAGGCGACATTGACCGTAGATAGCAAAGATCAACGGCCAGAATCTCTTAATCCTTGCAAGTGGGACCTTGCCCCGGTAGTGCTCCCTATTACTACACACACTACTGGTAGTGCAAGGCTTCGGATCTCAGCAGGACTCCAACCGGGCCGCCCAGAAGAAAAAGCAGGCCCGGTCCTGAGTCAAGGCCGCGGCAGAAAAAAAGGGTCCGCCAGCCTGAGTGTAGGCTGGAGTGAGACAATTGGAAGGAAGGGTGGGTGCAGCCTCTCCAACTAACCTGTAGGCCCAGCCTCCAGGTTCGTTGCAGGGGGTGGGGCCCTGGTACTCGGTCCGAAGGTTATCAGTCTGGGAAGAGCCCAGTCCCAGTCCCAGTCTCAGTCCCAGTCCCAGTCCCAGTCCCAGTCCCAGTCAGCTGCAGCTTCCACGTAGTAACCAAAGGGAACACATCCTTTGCGCCAGCAGTCTCCAAAGGTTGCTGCTTGCTCCAGCTCCACCCACGCCACTGTACGAAGGGGCTGGCTGTGGCACCTGCCATCCGCCCTCCCCTGTCCAGGTGGCGTTTGCACGGCTCCACGGGTCGCTTTCTCCAACAACATCAGCAACAACACCTCGACTCCACCTAGAAGTACTCAGCATCAGACTGTAAACTTAGTCAATGAACAAATAAGTGGTGTACCAGCAGTTAAACAACGATTTTTTCCTTTCGTCTTTGTCACTTCTCCTGCTTTCGTTTGATCATTGTTGGTGACTCAACGACATCGAGGTGCAACCTCGACGACCCGGCTGCGGGAGAATTGCTGCCGACGAACATGCCTCGTGCACACAAATCAAGAGGTGCTTAGTGAGACCCAGTAAATCAGCTTGCACTCATTCAGCCCCCCCTGCCCTTTGTACCCTGTTCCGTCATCCCGACAAACCGCTTTTGTTGCCACCTCACTCCCATATCAACCCCATGTCGCGATCTCGACCCCCCCCCCCCTGCCAAAGGCACTTCTCATTTGGCGCCTTCCCTCCCCCTCCCGATCCCCCTGTCCCTATGCACCTTGCGCCATTCTGTTGCTGATCGTCCCTGCCTTGGCTTGTTCTCTCTCTTCTTGCTAGGTCCTCACATGCCCACCATCGACCCGACTTTTTGCCCTGTTTCCCTTCCCCTTTCCCTCCGGACACCGTAGTCCCATTGCTTCCCTCCTGCCTGCAAACCTATCTTCTTCCTCCTACCCATTCGAGTCTCTCCCCTGTGCGCATTCTGTTCTTGTGCACCTCCCCCCCTTCCGGATCCCCCATCACCCCTCGTCGCTTCCCTCTGCCACCCTCGCCTTCCCTTGGTGCTGTCTGCTCCCATTGCACCAATCTCTTCTTCACCTTCTCCCTGCCCCGCTACACGTTTTCGCACTCGTGATCACCCAGGTCCGAAAAGCAATTCTGTGTTGATCCTTGGGCCTCATCTGTATCTGATGGTACCTGGACTTGAGATCTGGAGTACTGAAGTACTTACACCCCTGCACCCTATCCAGGAGGCTGTCAATGCGAGGTAGGGACTCTGCATTCTTAATGGTGATGGCATTGAGGCCCCTATAGTCAACGCATATCCTCTGCGGCCCCGCTTTCGTTGGGACGAACAGTACTGGCGCACCGTAGGGAGACGTACTAGGCGTGATCCAACCTTTTTTTTCGTCAGCTCTTTCAGTTGCTGGCGAAGCTCATCTAACTCCGCAGGAGACATCCTAAAGATCCTACCTCTAGGCACTTCACTACCTGGGATGATCTCTATAGCGTGGACAATCTCCATGTCTACGACTCCTGATGGCTCTTCTAGAAGGTCTGGATATTTTGCGATGACATTTTCCATCTCCGGAGGGGTCTTGAAGGCCTTCCCCTTCCGAGATACGAAGACCAAGTACATGCCCTCCTCTTGGTTCTGTGTCTATAATAGTCATAGAATGCATGAGTGCACAAGCAACCATTAGAGTCTGCCCTTCTTTGGGACCTATATTTCCTCTGACTGGCTCTGTCTGTCCTCCCCTCAGGCAACTTGAACTTAATGGTTTTCCTGACCCAGTCGAACTGAGACTTGGCAACCCCGAGGTAGTATATGCCTAATAAGTTATAACATATTGAATGGTAGATCGTCGCTTACCGAAAATGGGACACTGTGCCTCATTTGCCCGCCGGCATAGTAGAAGGTACAGGCTACGTCTCTGACATAGTCTTTGACAACTATCCGCGGCTTGTTTGTCTAAGGTAGATACGGCAGGTCTACTTAGCTGCTCCACCCTGCTCCACCGGGTCCTCTAAGCGCAACCTATCCACACAAGCTCGACTAATGTAATTGTGCGTAGAGCCACTGTCGGTAAGTGTCCCTGCTTTGCGGCCACCTGCACCGACTTCTACCATAACCATGTCCCACTTTAGGAACGTCTGCCATTGTCACCCAGGATGCTACCGTCTTCGCTCGAATAGAACGCCCGGTCATTATAGCTGTATTTGGCACAACTTTTGACCGGGCGTTCTATTCGGGTGAAGACGGTAGTAGGTTTTTCTCTGACCATTCCTGCTCTAGCTCCTCGAAGGACTCAGACACATACAGTGAACAGAGCATCATGTGGTCTGGATGAGTCTGCTGGGTGACGGTGAGGTCAGCGGCCTAAGCCGTTTGCTGAGAAGGTGAGGGATGATCACCTACCAACTCAACCTCTGTAGAAGTGGCCACTACTTCTGCTGGCTGGATGTGTTTCCCCTAGGATTACTTCTTTGGGATGACTGTGCAGGATGCCTTACCTGAGGCTGCACCTTCGTCAGGGCTTTCTTGTTAGACCGTACTGGCCACATTTCATGCAAGCACGCCGCACAAACCTGTCCCTCCGCCCCACGTCTTCCTGTACGCCGTTTTTTTTGGTCCAACCCTGGGACATGAGAACCAGTTCCATGACCCCGGGTTGGACAAAAAATGGTTGCCCGTAACCTCATGTAGCCCTCCCAAAGTTGTACACCTCTACCATTTTGTGTAGGCCTTAGCCAATTCACCCTTATGAGAAGGTTCACCCTTTACATGACCGGAATAAGAGTTCAGCCGCAGTACTCTAACAGGGGCCTTCCCAAGCCTGTCTGCAGCCAGTTTCAGAACCTGGCCGCAATTCGAGGGAAAATCCGAAATAATGCCACTGGCCAAGGGGATATGTTTTGGGTTGCCGGTACCCTCGGCCTTTTCACAGATGGCAGCATTGTCAGTCGCGTCTGAGGGGCAGCGCGGTTCCAGGGTTAGTTTGTAGTGCCAGCCCCTCTCGTACCAGTAG